ATTCTTGGCTCTACCATTTTGCGTTCTAACTAGTATGTGAATGAAGTTGATTAAATTTTCTTTTTAGGTGATCTGCATTTTCTGTCTGGAAGTTTTTAGAATTTCCTCTTTTTATTGGTGGTCTTAAATTTGTGAAATAATATATTTGATTCTCTGATCTTATTTATTTACTTCCTTATTTTTATTTATTTGTTTGTTCATTTGTTTATTTTGCCAATCCTGGGGCTTGAACTCAGGGCCTGGGCATTGTCCCTGAGCTTCTTTTGCTCAAGGCTAGCACTCTACCACTTGAGCCACAGTGTCACTTCTGGCTTTTTCTGTTGATGTGGTACTGAGGAATTGAACCTAGGGCTTCATGCATGCTAGGCAAACACCACCACTAAGCCACAATCTCAGCTCCTCTAATCCCTTTCAATCTTAAAGGTTTTATTTATATCCTTTTTTAAACTTTTATGCTTTATGGGGCTTGAACTCAGGGTCTTATTCTCTCCCTTAGCTTTTTCATTCAAAGCTGGCTTTCCTTTACTACTTGAGTTACTTCTCAACTTGTGGATTTTGTTGGATAATGGGAGATAAGTGTCTCTCAGATTTTGTTTGTTTGTTTTTTTTGGGTCCGGTCCTGGGGCCTGAACTCTGGGCCTGGGTGCTGTCCCTCAGATCTTCAGCTCAAGGCTAGCGCTCTACCACTTGAGCCACAATGCCACTTCCGGCTTTTTTCTTTTTGCTTATGTGGTGCTGAGGAATCAAACCCAGGGCCTCTGGCATGCAAGGCATGCATTCTACCACTGAGCCACCTTCCCAGCCCCAGTGTCTCTCAGATTTAACTGTCTGAGCTACCTTCAAACCAAGATTCTTGGATTTCAACCTGTTAAGTAGCCAGGATTACAGGCTTAAGCCACCCATGCCTGTCTCTGTCCACTCTTTTCAACAGCTATTTCTTCCTATTTTTCCCCTCATCTGGGATGTTTACTATACAAATGTCGTCATCTCTATATTTCACAATATATTTCTTCTCATACTTTCTATTTCTCTCTTTCTCACTTTGAAACAGGGTCTTGCTATGTAGTCTAGGATGGCCTAGAATTGGCTGCATAGGCTGGGCTAGATGAACTCAATTCTCCTCCTGCCTCTGCCTCCCAAGTGCTCAGATTGCAGGCCTGCACCACCAGGCCTGGCATTATACTTTCTATTTCTTGATCCCTTTCCTATTGCCTTGGTCAAGCTGATTATCCCCATAGAACCCACCCTGCTCAACGCAGCTATTGCCTTCTGTACTCCAACTATTTTTTCATACCTGATAATTCTGTTTGGCTCTTTTTAAAATGATTTGTTGTTCTTACCTCATGTTGCTGTTATTTTGTCTTACCTCCTTAAATAAATTTAAAGCATTTATTTTAAATTCAGAGCCCATCTGTTCCAGTAAGTCTGCTTTAGATGGTGTTATCTAGTTCTCTCTCTCTCTCTCTCTCTCTCTCTTTGGTCGTGGGGCTTGAACTCTGGGCCTGAAAGTTGTCCCTCAGCTCTTCAGCTCAAGGTTAGTGCTCTCTACCACTTGAGCTACAGCGCCACTTCCGGTTTTCTGGTGGTTTATTGGAGATAGGAGTTTCACGGACTTTCCTGCCCGGGCTAGCTTTGAACCATGATCCTCAGATCTCAGCCTCCTGAGTAGCTAGGATTACAGGCATGAGCCACTGGAACCCGGCTTTAGTTCTCTTTTAGTCAGTGTATGCTTTTGACCTATGACTGTATTTCCCTTAGGGGGTGCTGTGTTTCAGAATGTGAAATTTGCCCTGCGAATGAGCTGTAGGCAGGCCCTGATCTGTATTGGTGTCCGGACTTTAAGATGAGGGGCCGAGTTCCACACAGCCACTATGAGACACTGTGATTCAGACCCTTCAGAAGGCAGGCAATCTCAAGAGTAGGCATCTTGCTGGAAGAGCAGAGCTTCAAGGGGCAGACAATGATGAATTGTTCAGTCTCATGGGTGATTCAAGTGTTCTCTTTCCAACCCAGTGTTTCACTCTAATCCCTACCCCATCCATCTCATGATGCTGCCATTAGTCCCTAGAATCCCATAGCTCTATAGTTTCTTCAGGGATGATACAGGGACTGAAAGGAGCAGCCATCTTGACAGGAAGCCATCACCCACCTGTTCTTACACCTGACTCACCCACCTCTAACTTCAGTGATGAGTTCTGTTTCCTGTATGGGCTCATCCAAGTATTACCTCCCAGAATCACCTGGCTAACCTGTTCATACCCAGCTACATAAGCTTTCCAGAATGGGGTGCCCTCCCTCTCATTACCTTTCTATATCCTAAAGGCCTTCAGTGGGATTCCTCATTTCCAGGACAGGAAAATGAAGATCGGTGAGGAATCCTAATGCTCATCCTGCTAGGAGAGACAGAAAAGCCCTGGAAAGCTTGTGAAGAGAGCCGAGAAGTGTGGGTGCCAGTGTGCAGTGACAACTCTTGCTCTGTTTCAGGAATGAATGCAGAAGTGTGAACTTCTGTCAGGCAAGGGCCCTTCGATGTCCCCCATCCTCCCCACACCTGTCCATACTGCTTCCCCATTTCCTCTCTCCCCCCAGGTGCTGCCTAGAGCCTGGCCTTGGGGCAGTGGCTGTTCTGCTTCCCCCAGGGATCCAGCTTCTGCTCAGTGCCCACCCCCCCATCATTTCCCTGGACCTGCACCCTGGCAAGAGGCTGTGAAAATAGCATCTCTCAGCTTACTCTGACTCATGGCCACCTCCTGTTCTCCTGGACTCACTTCCTCTCCTTATATCAGGACCCCACCCTCACCCCAAGCCCTACTTACTCTGACTCAAGGAGAGTGAACACAGCTCTCCACCCTTCCCCTCTTCCCAGGCTCTTCTCTTGATCTGTCTACAATGTCTTCATCTCCTGTCCCACCTGTCTTCCTTCCCAAACTTAAAGACACTCCTGACTTGCATCCCCTGCTCCTGCTCTGCATCTCCCACCCCAGGAGCATGTGACCAAGGCTTGCTGTGCCCTCTAGTACCAGTGTTGCTCACACCTGACCAAAGGCTGGCCATGTGTTCCATAGGGAAGGCCACTCAGCAGGCACTCACCATGAGACCATGAGGTCTGCCTGAGGAGACCTCATGGACCTTGGTCTTGTTCGGAGACAGGAGCTGCAGGCCCTGTGTGGGCTGTAGCGTCTGTGTATAGAGGTGTGAAAGAATGAGTATGTGAGGCTGTGTGTCAGCCACTGTATGACAGGGTGATATATGAGTGGACAAGAGTGAGAAGAGCCTCCCAACACTCCCCCAGGAGCCCTTCTCTGACCTCAGGGGAAGTGAGGATTGCGAGGATGCAGTGCCACCTGGTGGCTACATCTTGAACTACAGGCTACAAGCCGTTTCTCCTTCCTCCCTGCCCCCCAACACACACACACACACACACACACACACACACACACACACACACTTTCTATAGGGTCCAGCCAACTTGCTTGTCATCTGGATACCCCATGATGGTCCTGTAGAGATTGAAGATGGAAGCCTTCTCCTGAGTTGCCTTCTAGCCCAGAGAAAGGGCTTCCAGAGGGAGGCAGACAGGTAGGCCTTAGACCCTAGCCTTGATAGATTACTTAAGTTCTCTAAACCTCTTAGTTGCAAAATGGGTTGATAGCATTTGTCTTTCTTCTCCCAGTGCCAAGGTATGGTAGAAGTGGGACTGGCAAGCCACTACAACTCTTCATTAGGGTACAGGGACCCCACCTTCCAGGGCAATCTTTTCTCTTTTCTCCATTCCATGGTCACCAAGTCCTGCAGATCCAACCTCTCCTGGGTCCCCTCCTCACTCATCCCCTGGATAGCACTGCACTTACAGCATACTCTCATAGCTCTGCTGTCCAATAGGCACTTTCTAGAATGCATGTGTGAGTCACTGGTTTACTGACAGGCTGGCTGAGAGTAAAGGCAAGTTCCACAGGCTGGTGCTCGGGCCCATTATGGCAGGCTTGATCCCCCTCCACCTTTCCACCCTTCCACAGCCACTGCTCCCTTCTCTGTGCTTTCCTCTGTACAGTTGCTTCTACTACCAGTGTCTATCTCCTTTGCCTGCAGGAAAATAGCACCTGCTCATCTCTCCACCCTTGCTATGATTCTTCTCAGTTGTGATTCTGCCTGGACTCCCCCCCCCCCCCCCCCAAGCCCTGGCATCTAGGAGGCTTGTCATAGCCTGTGACTGAGTTCTGATCCCTCTCTTTCAGCAAGCTGTGAGAGCCTCCAGACTAGGCCCAGAGATGAAGTCAGCTCTGGGCTCAGCCCAGGGTTCTACAGCACAAGGGATCTATGTGTGAGTTGTTCACTTATGGGTGATGAGGGATGTGTCAGCATGGACCTTAAGGGAGGGCTAGACTGGTTAGGGACAGACAGAAGACCCAGAGTTGAGGGGACAGCACGGTCCCTAGTGTCATGAGTGTCATAGGGTCACTCATGACCAAAGCAGGTTAACACAGAAGGAGTAAAAGAAGCCCTAGTCGAGTGCCAGTGGCTCACGCCTGTAATCCTAGCTACTCAGTAGGCTGAGATCTGAGGATTGTGGTTCAAAGCCAGCCCAGGCAGGAACGTCTGTGAGACTCTTATATCCAATAAACCACCAGAAAACTGGAAGTGGCTCCATGGCTCAAGTGGTAGAGCGCTAGCCTTGAGCTGAAGAGCTGAGGGACAGCGCCCAGGCCCAGAGTTCAAGCCCTACGACGACCACCAACAACAACAAAAAAGCCCTAGAAGGAGGTCTAGGCCACCTCCTCCAGGAGGAATCCCTGACTGCTTCAACCTTCCACTTACCCCATCCTTCATCATCTGGCCCTTCCCCCAACAGGTCTATGATACCTCCCTCCCTCCCTCCCAGAAGAGGATTTTTTTTTTAAGCCCCAGGAGTGAGCAGCTCTAAAAAGAGCATTTGCTTTCCCCACTTTGGCTTCCCCTCTACCCCATACATAAAGTCCACAGACAGCCCCCCTGGGGAAAGGTTGGTAGAAAGAAATAGATTTATTCTCATGTACAAAGCAGTCAGCCCACGGGACCACATACAACAGGTGCACAGAGTCCTAGAAAAACGCATCTCTCTAAAGGCAACTCAGTAGGTAAGGCAGGTGGCCCCTCCCCTGCCCACAACACACACAGAAGGAAACAGAATAGAGAAGCCAGCATCTGAGCTCACCCAAGAGACCCAGCCCTTGGGAGTCTCCCAAGCCCTGGGGCACAGGTGGATATGGCCTTGAAGAGGAGAGAAGCCTGGCTGGGCCTTTCTTGGTCGGCAGAAATGAGAGAGGGGGCTCAGGCCAAGGGGGGACTCTCAGGGGGGACATTGAGGGACTCCAAGTTGGGCATTCTGTGCCCTAGGCTGGCAGAGATGTTCCCACTGCCTCTGCTGGGACTCCATGATGCTGTAAGAATGTGAATTTCAGGCAAGGCTTAGAGAACCAATGATCTCACTGTCCTGTTTTGCCCAGAGAGGGTAGGAAGTTGCCCTGGATCCTACAGCTAGCAAGAAACAGCTAACACACTTGGGCCTGTCTCCCAGTGGAGGACCCTTCCTGTCTCTCCACTCATCTGTTTTCCGCCTGAGCCCCTCTCCCAGAGCACTGAGCTGCCAGGCTGGTGGCCTTCTCCTTGGGAACACCCAGGTCCCAATGCCACCAGAGACACAGAGGAGTCCTCAGGGCTTTTGCTCATGGCTGCTTCTAGTCCTCCAGCAAGAGTTGGAGAGTGTTTCCCACCCTATGCTCAAACAGGTGTCCCCCTTACCCTTCTACGAGGAATCCTGGACACCCCCAAAGGATAGAGGTCTGCAGGAGAAATGGCCACAAATCTGGTGGGGGCAGGAATAGGGCACAGAAGGATCCACCAGGACTGCTCAGAGAAAGAGTGACTTGGGGGGGAGTCTTGTCAGGGTATAGTCAGAGGTGCAGCACAGAGGGGCCTGGTCACCCTGCTGTTCTCCGAGAAATGGCAAAGTCCTGCTAGGCTAGAAGTCTTGCTTCCATTCTATGGACAAGAAAGCTGAGGCCCAGGAAGAGCAATACTCAGTGCCCAGCTCACACAGGAAGTCCTGGTCTAGCAGCCAGGACCCATGGCTCTGGTTCCCAGTGCTTCAGGCCAGACTGGTAGAGGGCTGTGGAGGAGAGCTGGGCAGGAGGATCCTGGGAGGGCATCACTCAGCGTCCAGGCTGCAGCAGCCATTGACAGGGCCCCTCGTGCCATCCAAATCAGGCACCTCATATTCCTCATCCAGGAAGTCCAGCGAGTTGTTGCTTGGGAGGCCGCGGATGGTAAACTTGTGGGACACTTTGGTCCAATGCTCACGGTTGGAGGCCACGCGCTCATACAGCTCTGCTGCCTTGGGGAACAGGTCTTGTAACAGCCTGGGGATATGTAGGAGTAGAGTTAGAAGTCAACAATCAAAGCATGGCTGGGTACTGGTGGCTCATGCCTGTAATCCTAGCTCCTCAGGAAGCTGAGATCTCAGGATCACAGTTCAAGGCCAGCCTGGGCAGGTAAGTCTATGAGACTCTGATCTCCAATAAACTACCAGAAAACCGGAAGTGGAGCTGTGGCTCAAAGTGGTAGAGTGTTAGCCTTGAGTTACAAACCTAAGACAGAGTACTCAGGCTCTGGATTCAAGCCCCAGTACCAGTAACATCCCTCCCTCTCCTCCTCCCCCCCCCCCCCCCGCCCCACAGCATATTGACAGCAATAAAGATGAAGGCTGTACCACAGGTAGGACTGGCACAGGGAGGCCACAGGACAGGCACAGGAAAGCTTGATGGTCTCCACTGGGGACCAAGGATGAAGTGAAGAACCTGCTTAGCAACGTGGCAGGACAAGCCGTGGGTCAGTTGGAGCTGGGCCAGTCCAAACTCAGTAAGCTGTCCACAGCTGGCCCTTGCCTGTCCTGCCATCTCTCTGTGCAAGGCTCCCAGCTGGGCTCACAGCTCACTCACTTGTAGATAGGCATTGCGATGTGCTCCATGAAGCTGATCTGCAGCTCAGGGATGTAGGCCTTCTCCCGGTCCATCATCTCCATTGGCCTGTTGCCCATGGCCTTCTCCTGTGGGTACCAGGTCTTCAGGCCTGCTCTCTTATTCCTCCCCCTCAGGTCCCAGGCAGGTCGGGTTAACCTCAGCCTCCTCCCGGCTGCAAACTAGGGGCCCAACCTCAACCTGGGCATCCTGAGGTCATGCCACACGTACCAAGTCTCCCTGGGAGAAGAATTCTTTGTAGATCAGCTCCTGAAAGGAAACACTCTCATTATTTCCAAAGGATGGAATCCATCCAGGCCTATGCCTTGGACAGTAAACTATGGCCCAGTGACATACCCCACTGAGTGCCTGACAATAGGATGGCCCTCAATGGGGTGAAGTAGCTGGGTGCTAGCCTACCTTTCACTAGCCTCTCACACTTGCTGTGTGGGTCCCATTAAGCCTGTGCCCCTCTCTGAGTCTTCATCAGTCACCCTGAGATGGTCTAGCTTTCTCTCCTCAAGTACAGCCAAGCTGAGCTCAGCACACAGAGTGTTCAGGGAGGTCCCCAGAGTGAACAGGGTGTGTAGCCTGTGCCTTCCTGAGGAGGGAAGCACTTACTGCGATCTTCCGGGTGGTCTTCCAGCCCTTGGTCTGGTCAGAAAGGTCACAAGAGGTCATCAGGAGGCAGAGGAGGAGCCGGTGGTGCTGTTTGTTGGTTTGGTCATAGCCCACTGTGTAAGAATGACAAGGTCAAAGAGAGGGGTCTTGTCTCTGTGTCCCCTCTGAGGACAAATCTAGGACTAGCACCAAAGTAGCTCCCTGATAGGAGCCAAGGGGCCAGGTACGATCATCTTGGAGAAAGGAGATGGGTCCCCTGGCAGCTCCCCATCTGGACTGCCCATCTCCCACCAGGGCTGACAGCAAGCACCTTCAGCCATCTTCTGGAGGTCTTTGAAGATGCGGAGGTGGTGGGCCAGGTCTGTGGCCAGGATGATGTCTCGCATCAGGTCCAGCATGCGCTGATAGTCCTGGGGCAAGCCAGGGGAGGGGTGTCATGGCCTCCTGATGGACATGCCCCACCCGTTGTCTTCCCGCCCACCCCCATGCTGCTTCTGTTCCTGTATCAGCCAGCTCCCACCCTTCCCCTCTGATCCTGGCTCATCACCTTCCGGGAGAAGTGATCGAAGATGTTGCAGCCGTGGGTGTTGAGGATGGCGATGGCCTGAGCAAAGTGGTGCCTCTGAAGGGACAGGAGGGGGGAGGGGCTTCACTGGGGCAGAGGCGTCCCTGACCTCTGACCCCAGGGGAGATATAGCTCAGTCGAGCCCTAGCTCCCAAGAACAGGCAAAAAGAGCAAGCAGGGCCTCCGGTTTTCTGAGCTCTGTTTCCATCCACTGTGACTTGGGGCGTGTCCTAGGCCAGCTCCATGATGCTTCCGATCCCTCAGCCGTCACAGAGAAGGATCTGATCAGAGTAAGTTCCTAGGGCCTTTGCAGGCTAGAGGAATTTTTGAAATGATCCTCGACACTAATTCATGCGGAAAACATTTGTTTGCTGACAGGAACGGTGATAATGAAGCAAGGGCAAGGCCCTGTCTCCCAGCAGTGAAGGGCTGTCACTTGGAGGAGGACCAGGCACATCCCAGGGGACAGAGGTCAGAACCCAGGCTGCATCAGGCCTCCCAGGAGACAGCAAGCGAGTCTCTTGGGGTATGTGTAAGCAGGGGCGGCCTCCGGAGGGGGTGTTCAAGAGAGGCAGCCAGCAGCAAGGTGACTTTGAAAATATGGCTCCCGCCCTCAGCCGAGACCACCTGGTACCATGTGCAGGCTACTCAGAGATATCTCAGACTTTGTCTCTATCCCTAGGAGACCCATGTGGGGTAGACAGATGGATCCCCTACAACCTAAGGTTGAGAGTCTTGGGGCAGGGCAGGGAGGAGCATCGTGGCCTTCTATTGGACATGCCCCATCCATCCCCTTGGAATATCCCCTTCCTCTCCCAGCTCCAAGAGAAAAGGGGAGTGGAGAGCATCCAGGCTGGAATGGGGGCTGGGGATGGGGGGAGGAGCTTCGCAGGTGTACCCAATCTTCTCTTTGTGAAGATGGCTTGGGCAGACTCCACTGCACCTGGCTTGCCCTGGAGGCAGCTCTTGATGTCTGTCTGTCTGGAGAATGCAGCTGTGGGGCTGGCTGAATAGGGGTGAGTTTGTGGGGAGAGGAGAGGATGGCAATACCTCCATGACAGAGCCCTCGGAGCTGTAGAGTGCAGCCAGCACAGATTTCTGGAAAAGTCCAGGAAAACTTCCATCACTCCTCACATCCAGATCTAAAAGCCCACTGTTGATGGAGTCCTGGCCCTGCTCCTTCCACCCCAAGTGCTGCTGGATCTACCCCATCACCACTACCACCACTCCTAAGGCTGTGAGAGATGAGACTCTCAGTCACGTGGGGAGGGGCAGACCTCTCACCGAGGCCACCTGGAAGGAGTTGTTTGTGCCTCTGTGATCCAGGTCGTGACACATGCAGGAAATAAACAAGGCAAAGATCTCGATGTCCCTGATTGAGACACAGAAAGGAGAAAGAAGTCACCCACAGCTGCCTCCCTGGGCCCCCTGGAGGAGAGACAGCTGATGACATGCCCAGACAGGCAGTTAGAGTGTCTGGTTCCTTCGTCTCAGTTCATATTCAGTGACTGTGGGGCTGTACAACCCTGCTCCCTGGGCTAAGAGGATTGGATCAATGGTGTCACACAGGAAATGCTTCCTTGTCTCAGAGAGGGGCCCCAAGCTGCTGTCACTCACTCGAGGTAGTTGGTGAGCTCCAGGTTCTTGTAGAGCAGGTAGCAGAAGTGAGAGACAGAAAAGGCATGCATCCAGTTATGGTAGGGTGGATCTCGATAGCCCTTCTTCACCATCAAGCAGAACCTGGGGAAGGAGAAAGGGGTCATCAGGATCTCCTCCATGAAGCCCCCCAGGTTCTACCTTGTCTCATTTCTTTGCATTTCTCTATTGACTATGATCCAGTGCCTGGGAGTTATCTCCCATTCACGGATCCTCCCCACCTCCAAAAGTTTGGGTCATCCTCAGAAAGACACCCCTCCCCTCCCCAGAATGCTGTGCGAGGACAATGGATAGAAAAGTGGCTGACAGCAGGAGGAGGAGACTGGGTCTTTCTGTGCCGGGAGAGGCACTCACCGGGCCAGTGTCGGGCAGTCAATTTTGTAGTTATTGATGAAATTCATGTCCTGCAGCATGCTCAGGATGGCCTGGAGAGGACAGAGGAGGGAATCAGAGCATCTGGCAGCATCAAGATGGGGATCCTGCCTCTGCCCTTTCTCAAATCCCCATACTCAAATGTTTGGAGTTCTAGAACTGCAAATATAAACCAGCAGGACATGAAATAATTGAAATAAGCATTTTCATATCTGTGAGCTTTCAGAAATCAAAAGGATCTAAGAACTCTTAGAACCACAAAATATTAGAAAAAGTAGGGGACTGCAAACCCCAAAGCCACATGCCCTGGACATCATGGTTCCAGAACAGCTCTTAGTGATCATCGAGTCCAGCCCCACACAGATCATCTCGCAGGAAGCCTCCATAGCCTTCCATGATGACTGCCTTACCAGGAAGTTCATAGGCACACCTAACTTAAATCTCTTGCTCACTCCTGTCCTCTCCCCATCCCCTCACCATGGATGTGTCATCCTCAGGCAGAGAGCGAGGAGTGTAGGTGAAACAGGCAAAGTTGGAGTCAATGGCAGCCACAGGCTGGATCCCATCGTGGAGAAGTTTGGTATATTCATCGTCAGAGACCTAAACAGGGGAAGCCAGGGCATTAGAAGATGGCTTCCTCTCTGTCTAGGATTCTTATCCACAAATTCCCATAGCAGATGGGAGGTCCCCCTCATTCAAAAGGTACTATAGTTTGGTCTCTATTTTATGGACCATCACTGGGCAGATGACCACTCTCCTCTCTTGGTGATTAGGACTGGGGGGGAGGGGATAGGGTGACAGGGAAGCAGTGGGCTTCCCAGCCTTCAATAATATCCAATCATCTAGCTTATTCCCTGGGTATTGAACTTGGCCTGAACCAAGTTCTGTCCTGTGAGACTCCTACTACCTGCTTCCATCCTAGCTGAACTGAGAAACAGAACTGAGAAACAGAAACAGGTCTATACGGAAGGAACAGCAGGAGCTGGGAAGGTGGCTCAGTGGTAGAGTGCTTGCCTTGCATGCATGAGACCCTAGGTTTGATTCCTCAGTACCACATAAACAGAAAAAGCTGGCTCAAGTGGTAGAGCCCTAGCCTTGAGCTGAAGAGCTGAGGGACAGCACCCAGGCCCAGAGTTCAAGCCCCACAACTGACAAAAAAAGAAAGAAAGAGAGAGGGAGGGAGGGAGGAAGGGAAGGAGAAAGGAAGGAAGGAGCAGCCCTGGCCATGATAGCTCATGCCTGAAATTCCAGCATTTTGGAGGCTGAGACAGTAAGATCACCAGTTCAAGATTAACATGGCCGGCAACATAAAGACTGTGCCTCAAAAAAACAAATGAAAAAAGGAGGTAGAGGATAAGAGAAGAAAAAGGACAAATAAAAGGAGAAAAGCAAAGCCAGAGCAAGAGGCACACATTGCTCCAGGTCTGCCTTTGCTGCCTCAGGAGACAACAGTCAGAAATCTCCACCTTGATCTGAGCTGCTAAGGGCTCTGGGAGGCAGAGAAAAAATTGGAGAGGAACAAGTGGCCCTGTGGGCCTGGAGTAGGACAGACACTGTGTAAACCTCACCTTCATGTGGTACATCATCATCTCATTGGCCAGGTGGCTGCGATACTGGGCCTCATTTACTTTTTTGTATAGGAGGGACTGAGGAGAGAGAGGTAAAGAGGGGGCTTCAAATAAGGCATCTGTGAAATCAAAATGCCCTTTACTTGTGTAAAGGGTTCAGAAAGAACCTTCTATTCCTGTCCCATTTGGGCCTGAGCCCTTTGGTCTACAACTCAGACTGCAGGGCATACCCCACCCCCATGTTTGCAGAGCTCTCTTGCTTGCCTCCCCCATCCTCTTAACATTTGAAGCACTTGATTCTAAGACGTCAATGATGGATCCAAGGCCCAAAGCAGGGAAAAAGCAGCCAAGAGGGATTCACATCAGGAACATGCGTTGGATTTCCAGGCCAAAGCCACCAACAGGCCTGCACTGTGAACCCCCACATTTGCCAAAAAGAAGCTGATAAAGGGTTGAATTGAGGTTGCTTCCAGAGAAAAGGGGAGGGATAGTTTTGGCAATTAGACTTTTTCCCCCCTTAATGGTTCTTAGATTTGGAGAGGGCAAGTAGTATCCCCAATTATCAAATGGATACTGAACCTAGAGGTGGCCAGCATGTACTAAAGATTTCACAGCACCCAGCCCATCAGGACAGAGCTAGGAGAGCCGGTGGGTGCGGCAGGAGGTGGGTCCCGCGCCAGCCCCTCCTCCCCCTCACATGGGCGATGCTGATGCCGCAGTAGATGGAGAAGGCGGTGGCCAGGTCCTCGTCGAACTTGCTGAACCATGGACCATTGATCTTGTTCACTAGCTCGGCCACACCGATTACCTCTGGGGAAGAGAGCGAAGCTGGGAACGGAGGGATCTGGCAGGGCTTGCCCTCTCTAAATTTCACGCCTGAGAATTCCTAATCCCTTTAGCTCCTGGAGCCTCGGGACGGCCATGAAGCCCGGCCCACCTTCCAGTCGACCCGCCCCTGGCCCCGCCCCCCGCGATCACCACGCCCCCTTGGCCCCGCCTCTTTCAGTCGGGTCCCTCCCTGGCCCCGCCCCTGGCGGCCGTGAGCCCACACCCTGATTCTCGTTCTTAATGGGGAAGCAGAGAATGTTGCGCGTGCGGAATCCAGTGCTGTCGTCCACGCCGCGGTAGAAAAGCGGGTGGGCATACGCATCAGGGATGTTCAGGATCTGGCCCGTGGTTGCCACGTGGCCCGCGATGCCCTGGTCGGCCGGAATGCGGATCTCGTAGCTCTGCGAGATGAGGATGGAGTGGGAAGGATGAAGTTATTGGTCAGGCTGCAGGGGTGACATGGAACCTGCTCCCCGGCGATCCCCCTGCGCTCCCGGCACCCATACCTCATCGTCCACCACGCCCCCATCGAACACCTTGGCCACCAGTTCATTCTGATCCAGCAGGAACACGGAGCAGCTGTGGGGAGAAGAGGTTGGTTCACAAGGCCCTGATACCCTTTTCCAACTGTCCCCACTTCTTTTTACTTAGGGTGATGGCCAGATTTCCGAAGCCTTGCAGGAATGGCTACAAAGGGAGACATTCTTTTCAGGGTTGGCTGGCATCAGACATTCCTCTTTTTTTTTTTTTTTTCTTTTTGCCTCTACTGTGTGCCAGGCACTGTTAGGAGTTGAGGATCTGTGGCAAACTGATCTGGCCCGACCCTGCTGTGAGTGGCGACCAATCAAGAAGGCAGGGAGGAGAAGGGGGAAAAGAGGTGATGAGGAGCCTCTTTTGCCTCTTCTCTGGGTAGATTCGCTCACATCTCTGCGTTGCTGAGGTTTCTGGCCTCTGTGATGATCTCCTGGAGCAGGACAGAGACATCATCTGGGGAAAAGATGATGCCCACCAGGCAGGTGGTGAGACCAGAGTGCCAGGTGGAGCCCTCCCACCCGTCTTCCCTAAATAGCTGGTGTGAAGGGCAGTGAACTCACCTAGGTGAGTGAAGAGGTTCTTCGCCACTTGGAGAAGGGCCTAAGAGGAGGGAAATGGAGATAACAGGGAGTTCTAGTTAGGGACCACTCTAACCAACCCTCAGCCTCCATTCACCCCAGAGTCTTTTCACTCCTCCACTAGGGGTCCTGAAACAAGTGTGGAAGTGACATTTGTCTACCGAGGAACAGTGGAATAGCCCAGCAAAGATATGTAGGAAACATCCTGTTCTTGCTACCCAGGTATTGCTGTAGTACCCATATTGAGCAGAAGAGGGCACTCACATACAGTGCCAGCAGCCCCCTGCTCAGGGCATGGGGAACTACTGACCTTCCCTCCTTAAACAGACTTCCAAGTTATGAGGTTACCTAGCTGTCACAGGGCAGGGCTGCCATTTTCCCAGAAAGACATAGGTATCTCTTTTCTGGATGGTTTTCTGGGTCTGGGGCTGAAAGCTAGGTGAGTTGGTTCCTGGAAGAGGCTCAAGGCAGACTACTCACCTGGCACTCACACTTGAGCTTCTGCTCCTTCTGGAAGGCCAAGGTGCTGGTGAGCACTGTGCCTGTATAGTGGAAGCAGTGCTGGATCACATGTTCATCAAGGTCTGTGAACCTGAAGGAGGGGCTGGAAGTCACTCAGGAGGGCAAGGAAGACAGGCTTCTCTCTCTTTTCTCCTCGTTTCCATGCTGCCAGGAAGCAGCAGGGATATTCATCAGCCAATCATAACTCTCCTCTACACTAAGGCTATTCTACTACACACCTCCCTCCCTCAGACTATGGACTCCCTGATCAAAGGGCTCTACTCTTCCTCAGACCAAAAGGGGTTTCTTCAGGCTATCGATTTGTCCCTGTTTTGTTTTTGAAACAGGGTTTCTCTATCATACCCAGGCTAGCCTGGAACTCCTTGGGATCCTCTCACCAAAGGCTCTCCAGAAATTGGGACTGCAGGAGTGCACAACTGCACACATAGGTTATTTCTTGAAGCTATAGCCATGTGTCCCTTTAATTAACGGGAGACCAAGACTGGGTCTCCTTCCTCAGACTAGGAATTTGCCCAAGCCAGAGCTGGGTGTCCTCCTGCTCTTCCCACTGTCTTTCCATCCTAAAAGGGAGACAAGTGACAGAGAAGGGGAACTCAGATGGCTCTAAAGGAACAAAATGAGTAATGGAGAGGTATCCAGCAGCAGCTGTATTAGCCTAGTAGGCCCTCCAAACTCCACTCCCACCACTGCTGGGAGAGTGCACCCTTCCCACACTGTTACCCCAGGGGAGCCCTGCCCCACCTCTCAGCTCCACCTCCTGCCCCATGTCATCCCACAAAACTCACAAGTCTCCTCCCAGCTTGTTGAAGGCGCAGGCCAATGCCACCACCTGGTCAGTGGCCCGGCTGATGACAGGGACACAAAGCATGGCCTGAAGCTCACAGCCCAGCATGCTTTGTAACTGTTGCACATCCTCCTGCAAAGGGGAGTGCATCAGGGCAGGGAGTGGTTGGGAATGTGCTTCTTCCCCAGCCCTCCTCTATGGGTGGTACAAATTCCCTGAGTCTTATCTCCAGACAAGATTCTGACTGTGCAGGCTGAGCACAGGCCTCTCTTCTCCCCCTTCCCTGGTCCAGCCAGGCCATGGCTTACAGAGGTAAGGTCCTTCAGCTGGATGGACTTTTTGTCTTCAACCACCTGGCCCAGGCGTCCCATGGTCAACTGAGGAGCAAGGAGAGGCTGAATCAGGGCCCAGCTGTCCCCATATCAAGAGGCTCACCTTCCAGGGTGGGAATTTTCAACAAATGATTCAGGCAGTCCAGTAGGGAGTAGAAGTCAATATTGAGCAGAGAATTGGAGGAGCAAAGGTTGGTAGAATCAGCTGCAGAAGACTCTAGGGTCTTCCCAAAATAGGAGAGATATAAGCAAGCTCCAAAGATTCTCATTGATTGCAACAGATTCTTATCTGGAAACACTCCTACAGAAGTGAGCCAGTTCCAAGTAAGCCTTCCTGTAGATAGTTCTCCTAATGGAGCTACATCGTGAGATACTGTGATTTCTTTGTGACATGTCTAAGTAAATCTCAAGATCCAGATAAATCCCACCTGATTCCAAGAGATGCTAGAGGACCCCATCCCTTCCAACAGATCCCAAGAATGCATACTAGGACTCACAGGAAAGCTGATCTCTTCCCCTAGCACTTTATCTCCAAGGACCTGAGAGACGGAGAGGTAGGGACCAGTTACTGCAAAGACAGACACTGGCTTCTTGTCCCACCCACATCCTGCACCCAGTGGACTTGGCCCCTCACCTTGCAGGAAAGCTGCAGGTTGTCCTCTGATACTAGCAGAAGGCAGCATCGCGATGCCTGGGTCTCCTGTTGCAGCTGAGAAGGGACAGATAGAACAAAGGGCTGATTGTAAACCTAAGGTCACACCCACCCTGTCTCCTTTTTGAGGCTCTTCAAGCTTGTGGAAGTGGGGGAAAGGGGCCTTACTTCCTGAACTGAACTGACATCTGAAGTCCTAGGGGACGTTGGTCCCTGATGGGAGACAGGGCGGGGAATAAGGGCTGTGCTCACAGACTCACATATTGGAGGACTTTAAGCTGTAGAGAGGTGGCATCCAGGTCGTACAGTTCCCCTGCAAGAGCCAGGATGCTGGTCAGTGAGGGCAGTTTGGTCCCTAAAGGTGCCCTCCCCCAACAGACCTTGACTTCCCCCAGCTACACCTTACTGCTTAGCCCACTGACACTCCTCCCGGGGTTCTCTACTGGCTCCGCCCCCCCCCCCCCCCCGGGAGCACGCCACCTCCTAGGCCACGCCCCCCGAGCCCTCCCCCCCCCCCCTCCATCCCCCCTTAGCTCGTCTCCAGGTCTACCTTGCTTCGCCCTCATAACCTGCACAGGCCGGGGGCCCTCACCACACAGTTGCAGGATCTTTCTATCTTGGTCCGTATATTCCACTTTGTCCTTCTGGTTTTCTGACACCTCCACCAGGGAATTCTGGATCTCTCCAAGGGTCGCACTGGGCCCACGCTGCTGCAGGGCCTGCACCCTCCGCAGGGCCACCAGGGTCTGGGGTGACCAAAGGATCAATGTGCCCACAGGACTCCAGCAGTACTCTGTCCACAGGGCCCATCGCTCTGTCCCAAACACCTCAGCCCTCCTCATTCCTCCATCCCAAGAGCACCCACAGCTCTCAGTCCCATTGTCCCTCCGTTCATGGACAAGTATAGGGTCTGTCTCTTCCTCTTGCTCTCAGAAACTAGGCAGAGACAGATATTTCTGTCTCTAACACATGTGAGAGTTCCTTGGTCCTTGTTAAAATTATAATCTTAAAACGTCAGGCACAAAGCATTTAACTCCCATTATTATGGCCACTTTTGTTTATTTATCTTTTATTTATTGTTTAATGCCAGTACTAAGGCTTGAACTTAGGGTCAAGGTGCTGTCTCTTAAGGCTGGCATTCTACCTCTTGAGCCACACCTTCACTTTTGGCTTTTTGGTGATTAATTGGACATCAGAGTCTCAGGGATTTTCCTGCCCAGGCTTGTTTTGAACCCTATGACCCGCAGATCTCAGCCTCCTGAGTAACTAGGATTATAGGCATGAGTCACTAGCCCCCAGTATTATAGGCATGAGTCACTAGCCCCCAGGATTAGTCCACTTTCAGATGTGAAGCAGGCTCTGAGACTTCCTCAGGGTTCCAAAGCTTGGATGTCATGGAGACGAAATGGAAATCCAGGTCTGTCCAGCTCATTGTTCATCCTACCACATCCCACCCCACTCACGTGCTTCTCCACTGCCTGCAAATTCCACTCGTCATTGTCACTCAGCTGGCCACAGTGCACCTGGAAGGATAGAGAAGGGTGCTGTGACCTGTTGGCCTATCCATGCCACAGTGCCTTTCCTGTGTCCAACACACCCCAGCCCCCAGCAACACGCTCCATTCAGTGGACCTCCATGGTAAACCCATCCTTCTGACCACACAGATAGCTCCTACAGATACAGACTGGAACTTTCTGTTTCTGTCCCATTATTTTCCATCAGCACTGTTATCATGGGACAGTCACTGTGTCCTGTCAGCTTAGTCAAGGTGTAAAGTGTCAAGGGGTGTGTGTGTCTTAGACCCCCTTCCCAGGGTCTCCCCACTGTGGGGCCCTCCAGACTCTGAATGAGTAGAATTCACCTCAGTGTCCTAGCTTCATTCTTTCTAAGTCAGAGTTTGAGTTGCCTCTAAGTCTGGATTAAGGAAAGAACCGGGCTCTGCCTGTGCAGGGCAGATGGGAAGATGGATGGCCTGGAGTTCTCAGTCTTACTCAGGATTCTTACGACTGTGTGATGCAGGTTTCCCCCTGCCCCCCCCCCCCCACGCCCTGCAGATGAGCCAAGGCCATGGGACTTATCCAAAATGGCAGGGTTAAGACAGCCCCATCTGCTTCCCCTGGGACTTGTTCCAAGTCACAAAAGCGGAGAATGACAAAACAGCCTCACCTATTCCTACCCTCCTTTCCCTCTCCAGGATCATCTTCCCTGCCACCCCCATTACCCTGTCTCTCTCCCAGTTCCCTGTGCCGGACATCAGGGCTCCCCTCCGCCATTTTTCAAACTCAGTCTCTTCCTCCCTTCAGCCTTGCTTGGGTGTGGAGGAAGAACGTGGGGAGAGGGAGATAGGACAATCCAGGGGTTCACTTCAGGCCCTCCAACCAGGCTTCCTACCTACTCATCAGCTTCCTCACCTACTCAAAGCTGTTCACTACCAGCCGGGCTCCCCACAGTGCCTTCACTGGGGATCCCTTTGTCATCTTCCCTCCTAGCTCTCAGCAGCCCCTGGCTGCCTCCTTGCCAGGAGCAGATGGGGAGAGGAGACCAGCAGCTTCTTAGATGCTCAGGGTCTCACATGGGGCAGGATGTGGTGCTGGGAGGCCTGGAACCTCACACCTGAAGACGATGGAGACTACCTGGACTGTAGGGCCAGAAGGTAGAGCATCAGGGTGGCCTCCTGCCTCGATACTGAAGCACGGGCAGGGCAAGCAGAACTGGAGGCAGGGAGATCATGTGGGCTGGAGGCTGTCCTGGGAGTGCCAGGTGGGGGGTGAGAGGTGAGGGAAATGAAACCCTGGGAAAGAGTAAGATCTATGATGCCACCCAGGGAATGGCCTGGAAGTTTTAGCCTAAGAGAACTGGGGAGCAATGGCAGATTCAGCATTAGAGGGCCATAGTCTGTCAGGTGGAGGGTGAATCACAGAAGCAAGACTATAGACAGATCTGTAGACCAGGGATAGTGCCAGAGCTTAAACTCTAGAGGAGGGTCCTGCTTTGACTCCCGTAGGGTAAGGGGTTTGAAGGAAATGGAGGCCAGGGTTCATTTGCATAGGGTTTGCCAAAATGTGCTGGGATTGGCTATTAGTACATGGAGGAGGGCATCCCTCTTATTACCTCTCCCTGGGCCCAGTTCTCAGGAAAAGGGAAGGCTAGGAATCCTCTAGGGTAATAGAGCAACCAGATGCAGACTAAAAACCCATGGCGAGGGAAAGGAAGGGGGCGTAGTGTCCTTCCAGCAGGTTCACCTACCCAGTGTGTGAACAACACACACAAATACTCTCATAAGGGACCTCAGGAACTGCCACATGCACACACTCCTGCTCACTCTTCCATGGACACACACACATACGCAAACTGCAGTCACTGCCACACACCCACACTAACAGTGTCTATACTATCCACACATGCACGTTCACACCACTACCTAAGAAACTTGAGTTCCCATACCCAAGAACCATGCACATACTTCCAGTCTTCCCCATACACATACACCAACAAAATCGCTCCAATACACACGTGGCCCTACTTTTACCTGTCCTTGTTAATGAGAGTTGCTTTCTGGGTACTCTGCATTGGGCATTGGGGCTTAGAAATAACAAAAAGCCTGGCCCAGCTACCAGTCCTGACCCTCACCAAATCTGACGTAGTAATGGTCTAAACACCCATCCCCATGCAAGGAACTGTCAGGCACAGCTGACCAATAGACATCAAATGCCAGAGACCAAGGGCCACCCACTCCTCAAAGGGACTTATTATCCCAGAATTGAAAAACAGAACCAGAGACTTTCCTCACAAAGAATCAGCACTCAAAGTCCCTTGAGCTGAGCTACAAAGACCCAGAACTGACCACAGAGCCCTGCACCTGGATGGCATGTCCTTCAGAGAACCCACCACCAACTCCATCTTCATCAAGCCCCAATATTCCTTATTCTCCCTGTTTTCTTGTCATCGTTTGTATTTTTATCCTAGTGCTCATTTGTTTCATGTCTTCCAAACTATACCATCTAAAGCAGAGCCTTTTGGTCTGTCTTGGTCACTTCTGTGTTCCAGAACCTAGCACACAGTGCTTAGCACCTAGCTGGCACTCCAGAAAGAGTTCATCAATGGATGGATGGATGGATGGATGGATGGATAGATGGATGAATACCAAGTGCAGAGACCAAGCACAAGGACCATGGCTTGTTGAAGAAGGAGCTGGTGCAACTCATCCCTCCCAAAACATCTTGCTTAGATCCTGCCTCTTCCCCTGTGCCCCCTCTGCCCTGAGGTTCAGGTAGCAGCTGAGAGCTCCCAGTGGTCTGGGGTGCCTCTGGGTGAGATTATGTGGCTCACAGATCTTCTCTGAGGGGCATCTGGTAAAGTGCATTTCTACCTGAGTGGGCAGGGACAGGCTTGAAAGGAGGTGGTCTGTGAATAACCCAAACCTCCACCCTTCAAGAGCTCTACACTGCCAAGGTGAAGAAAGGCTTATTAGAAACTTCTGAGAACCCAAATCCCACAGATAGCAACTTTCTCAATCATGTGCACCACATACTTCTGCCCTACCAGGACCATACTCTTCCCCAACCCCAAACCTCATCTCCCACTGCCTAGAATGCTCTTTCCTTTTCCTCTTCCTGTCAACCTCCTACCTATGCCCCAAAGCCCTACATAAATGCTCTCTCCACTGTGAGGTGGCTCTTGCTCCTCCAGCCTCTGCTGTCAAAACACCTGTTGGCTGTACTTATTTCATTTGGCTTGGGGATAGCTGGAGAGTGTCACTGCTGTTCTCCAAAGTGAAAGCTCCTAGAAGATGGTTTGTCTAGCACCCAGTCTCTGGGGCAGCTAAGTGAGTTAAAGTGAAGTGACCTGACTACTTTTTTAATGCCTGTGCTAGGGCCTGTGCTAAGCTGGTGCTCTACCATTTAAGCCACATCTATGCATTGGGCTTTTTGCTGGTCAATTTGGGATAAGAGTCTCATGGACTTCCCTGCCTGGGCTGGCTTGGAACCGAGATCCTCAGATCTCAGTGTCCTGAGTAGCTAGGATTATAGGCGTGAGCCATTGTGCCCTGTTTCACTACCCTTTTGGAGACATACAGGCCTCTCCTTCTGCCTCCACCCCTCAGCATGCTGCCCAGCCCTGGGCTTCCTCAGGCCCACCAGCTCCGGGACAGACCAGCGGGAGCAATGGAGAGGAGGAAGCAGCCCACGGAGAACTCTGCCAACAGCAGATCCAATCCCTGCAGGAGCACAAGCTGGGGGTGGGGAGCAGCTTGTGGGAGAAGCTCCCCCAGTCAGGCAGATGGGGTGTGGAGTCAGGGCATCAAGCCAAGCACCCCCTTCCCTCCCCTGGTGGTTACCCCCTACTCCCACTATCCTCCCTCACCAGCAGCTTGGGAAAGGTCAGGCGCCTCAGAAACCTTTAATTCCCTTTTAATGAGCTCAAGTTGGGGGGGGGGGCTCCTCCGGTACGCCTTGGCCAGCTAATTTAACTGTCAGCATGGCGCCACCTCGGCAGAAGCAGACTCCCCAGTAATAGTGATCTAGGGGCACTAACCCCTTCCTTACCTGGTACAGGACAAGGATTTTGAGCCCCACTCCCATAGGGGAGAAGAGATGGAGAGTGACAAATCCCAGCTGGCAAGATTCTGCTACCCACCATAGCACCCCATGGTGGAATAAGCCCTACAGAGTCCCACAGGGGTAGCAGAGAGTCTGTTGGTCCCTGCGGCCCACCCCCACTTCCCATGGAAGCCCAGTCCCCTCCGCAGAGGACCCCTAGCTGCCTGGCTGGTGTTCAACCTCAGTGTAAGTCTAGCTGGGGTCTGTCTCCCCACACAGCCTCTCCCTGTGCCCCCGAGCTGCAGTCACCCCAATCTCTGACTCCTCTTTCACAATGTCTCTCAGTGGCTCATGTCCTCTGGTCCCCTGAGTGTCTTTCAGTCAGTTCATCTCCCCATGTTCCTGCTTTCTTGAACACTGTCCTCCAACCCACAGGGTAGGAGGAGCGGATTCCAAAAAAGAAAGGCCAGGAAGTGCCAGGGACTGGGCTTTTCCAGCTCCATGGAATCTCCAGATGCGACCTGTGCATAGGTCAGGTTGCTGAGTGGACCAGCAATTTTCTTCTCCCAATTCAGGGCAAAGTCCAGGACTGAGCTGTGGGAGCCACCTAGAATCTTCTCTAGCCCCCACCCCATTCCCTGCCCAGTCCATCCCAGATTGCTGCACACACACACACACACACACACACACACACACACACACTTCAGACAGGCTGCATCCACCGCTTTCTCCCCTGCTATTCTCATCTCCAATTTTACCCCACAACCCAGCCACCTGTGCAGACTCTCACCAAGATGACAGCTGCCACCACCTCTGCCTCCTTGTCCACCAGCGGTATGACCAGCACTGAAGGGAAGAGGACAATGAGATAAAATACTGAGCAGGAGGTTGGGGAGGGAGACAAAGACGCAGACAGAGGGGCTGGGACAGAGACACAGAGAGACCCAGAGGGCCAGTGAGAGAGGGGGGGGGGGTCCTGACCGGCAACAAAAACAACCCTAGCAATGACCCTTGCGTAGAAGGAAACCCCCTCACTTCACAGCATTCTTCTGATCCTCCCAGAAACCCTGAGAGGAAGGGAGGCAAGTAAGGCTGAGCACCCTTATGCTATAGATTGGGAAACTGAGGTTCAGAAAGGGGAAGTGACTTGCCCAAGATCACACAGCAAGTCAGGTCTCCTGACTCCCAGTCTTGTGCACTTTCCACATCGAGACAGAGGACAGAGACCTAGAGAGACTGAGACACGAGGCAGAGAGAGACATGGCAGACAGGGGGCATGGAGAAGAAGAGAAAAGGAAATAGAGACACAGTGACAGAGCATGACAACAACTCCCATCTTGCAGCAGCCACAAGCATGTGGGAACCATGGCCATGGGTCACTGAGCCCTAGTAAGTGCCAAACCCTTAACATGCCCCTCTTTCAAGGTGAAAACCCTCAAAATGCCCCCTCAAGGTAAACACCCATTTTACAGTCAGGAAATTGAGGCTCAGGTAGGTTAGTAGCATCAGGGAGAGGATTAGATGGAGGGACTGATTGCTGGAAACACAGAGCCAGAGAAAGGAGACAGAGATGAGGATGGGTGGAAGACAGACATGAGCTGGGAGCAGCACCACAGCCCTCCCTGTCCCTGCCCAGCTCCGAGTTCTTACCTTGGGTTTCAGGAGCCAGTGGAGCCACCAGCCTGGCCAAGGGCTTCCCTGGCAGGTCCGAGGAGCCCAGCCCATTGAAGCTCAGCCGCTTCCGGGAGATCACTGCCTCCCTGAAAAGGGACACAGTCTACCTCTTAGTCCTTGGATCAAAGAGAGGCAGAACTCAACCCGGGGAAGACGGGGGCTACACAGCAGACTGCACCACACACAGGGGAAAGGGTCTGCCTCACAAAGAGGACAAAATGAGAAGGTTAGACAACTGAAATCTGGCCTTCTGTGGCCCTGGCTGATAGATATAGGGAAGGCATGTGTGCAGAGCCCAGTGCTGAACCTGGCCACAGGGAGAGCAGAGAAAGCCCCAGCAGAGCCCAAAGCTAGACTACCAGATCACACTCTCCCCTGCTGCTACTAGGCAAGTGCCCTCACGTCTGACGTTCCTGGGGAAAATTAGGATGGGGGCAAGTAGAACCCTCCCCATCCATCCTCAGGAAACAACTGCAGAGCCAGTTTTAGTGCTAAGTGCAGGAAGGAAACTCCAGAGGTTAATATCATAGCTTGAGTCTACTGGGACTTTCCTGTGTGCCAGGCACCTTATATGAGTTAGACCAGAATTCCTCACAATCCTATGAGTTACAAGTTAACATCATTTCCATTTTCAGCTGGAAAAGCTAAAGCACAGAGAAGTTAAGTAACCTGTCCAGGATCACATGGCTAACAAGTGGTAAAGGGGGGCTTTGATCCTAGGCAGGCAATTGGTACTAGAGGTAGAATGAACCACTGTGTTTGAACTGAACCATTCTAAAGATATGTAGGGTGTGAGCCTCTACAGGGAGATGGGGGTGTGTGTCTGGAGGAGAAGTGTGATTGTGGAAACTGAGGCAAAGGAAATTGGTCATGAGAAGAGTGAATTACTCTCGCCCTCTGCATATACCACCCTTCCCCTGGTCTCTGGTCCTTCCTGCTTAATTAAGTGGCTGATTTTTTTAACCCATTGTCACTCCCTGATGATTAATTGTCCTAAGCTCCTTGTTTTTCATGCTGCTTCTAATTAATTGTGTTTATAAGGGCTGCCTGGCCTGGATAGAGAAGCTGGGGCTCTGGTGTGTGCATCTGGGATCCTAAGAGGAATCCAAATCAGACGTGGAAGCAGTCTGCAAAGCCTGGGTCTGAAGGCCATAATTACTGGAGAATCAAGGACCAAAGAGGGTGGGCATCTCATTCAAGGTCACAGTGCATAATAAAGCATTCCCTCCTGGCTCCTTTGACAGTTCAATCTTTGACAGTTCCAGCCCTCTCATCCAGAACCCCAAGCCCTGGGCTTCAGTTATGAGCAGTCTTGTAAGCCTGAAATCACTCCAGGCATGAACAGGGATCAAGGTGGCAGGTGGGCCATGGAAGCTACCCTGTTGACTAAACTGACAAAGCCTGGGGCTTGTTGGAAACAGGGTCAGCCAAAGCCTACCTTGCTAGTTAGCATCTAACAAACTGGTTGTCTGGAAGCCACAAGGTGGCGCTGGTCCCCACACCTCCGGTCAGGGAGACCTTGACTCCAGGTACCTGGGAGCTGACCCATTCTCTGTCCCTAGAGCTGGGACTGGCTTAGCCTCTCTCTCCTAGACCCCTGATTTTTGTCCCTAGCTATCTTCTTTTCTGCTTAAAACCCTTTCCTCTGTGTGTGTGGCATCATAACCCCAGCCCTGGCTCAAGAACTCTACTTTGAGGTGTCCTCTGGGTGTTCCTCAGTCTGAGTTTCTCATCTCTACCCCTCCCTCAAACCCTTTCTAGAAACAGTACAATTGTCCACTAGGTCTTTGTTGTTGTTGGTTCATTCTGGGGCTTGAACTCAGGACCTGGGTGCTGTCTCTGAGCTCTTTTGCTCAAGGTTAGCATTCTACTACTTTGAGCCACAGCTCTACTTCCAGTTTTCTGGTGTCATGAACTTTCCTGTCTGGTCTGGCTTTAAACCATGATTCTCAGATCTCAGACTCCTAAGTAGCTAGGATTACAGATGTGAGCCACCAGTGCCTGACTGTCCACTGGGTCTTTTACAATTCTGAAGACTGTCCTGGTGGCCCTGGTGGCCTCCCATTTCTTCCCCCAGCCACAATTGTCCCCTGCTCTCTTCCCAAACCACTTCCCAGGGACAGTAGAGGCACTTTTCCCCTAAGCCTCGCTGCAGCCTCCTATCCCCCACCCCCACTCCCCGGCCCCCAGCCTTCGTGGATCTCAAACCTCTCCATACAAAGCAAGAATACATTTTCACAGAACATCAGTCTGTCATTCCAAAGGGTCTTTAAGATGAGCAGAGCCTGACTTGAACACCCCAGTGTTATGGGAAGGTTGACAATGTAGACCCATGCTTGAGTCAAGAGACTGGGCTCTGACAAAAAAGGAAGAGCAGGCCCCTGCCCAGCCAGGGCAGGAAAGGATGAGGTCAGGAAGGCTACCGTCGTGGAGTCCAGAGAATATTCAGAGGTCATCTAGACCAGTAGGAAAGGACAATCAAGCAGATGGAACTGAACATTTGAGCGTTCAGAGGAGAGAAGATTGTGTGTCACTGGAAGGCCCAACCACAAGGAGGAGGGCTGGCTGGACATCAGGGGACAACCCTAGACAGGGGTCAGGACAATAAGGACTGGATTTGAGGACAGTTGGCATCAGAGGGATTTGAGCAGGGGAGGGTAATGGTCAGGCTTGATTTAAGACCCATCCTGTTGTCTAAAACCCTCACAAGAGAGAGTGAACCTGACATAGGATATATACTGTCAGTGAGGGCCATGTCTCTGGCTAAGAGATGGGAGACTGGGCTGAGACAGACCAATGTTGACTGGGGCTAGATTACTGCCTTCCCCTCTTTCATCCCAAGCACTGGGGCTTCCCCAAACCCTCAATTCTCAGGAGGCCTTGGCATCTTTCTCTGCAGCTGGCTCTCTCCTCTCAGCTGCAGCCACCCCATCCCCCTGGCAGGCAGAGACATGCCAGGCTGTGTTCCCTCACTCCACCTGTGGGAGCCTCTTCCCTTGGCTGCACTCTCCCTAGAACAGCTGTCCTGCAGGTTCTCAAAATACTCGCAGAGTAAGATGGGAAGGTATTGAGGTGCAGGCTCACCACCATGTAGAAGGGGGCTCAAACCCTAGTGATGCTCTCTTTCCCTCAGGGCCCCTTCCTGCCTCCTCCCCAGCTCCTTCCTCCTTTCTGTCCCCATGTTCCCCTGTTCCAGAGAGGAGGATGGATTGTACACCCCCACCCCCAGCTGTCCAGGTTGGAGACTAATGACTCAGGCCTGATGCCAGGGTGGTCATGGCCCGCCTCGCTGAAGATAAAGACAGATGGGCTCAGAGTGGAGAGAGAGGAATGGGTGTGGATTTTTATGACAGTTCCATTCCTTTAACAACTATTTGTTCAATGGAAAATGAATACAGGAAAAAAGCTCTCTGTGGGGAAGATCAACAGCCTGGGGTACAGTGGGGTGTATAGGCCCTCTCCACCTCCCAGAGCTCTTTTTCGCTGATCTTCTTCTAAGGTGAGGTCCCTGCTCCTTGCTGAGATGCCCCCACCCCATGCCTCATTTCTCACTAAGCTTTATTAAGCCCCGGTCAACACAGAATGCCCAAGACCCTTACTGAGCCCAGATTCTCAATGAGTCCTGTACCCCACGGAGATTTAGCTCCTCACTAACCCCATCCTCCTGAGAGTCCTGGTCCCCTGACAGATACTCTGTCCCTCACTGAACCTCATCCTTCAGGAAACCCCAATTTCCTAACCGCCGAGTCCCCTCCCGCACAGAGCCGCATCTCAGAGCTTCATCTCCTCACCAAGCTTCAGCCTCCCACTGAGTCCCAGCATTCACTAAGCTCCACCTCTCACTAAGCCCTACCCCTCCATGAACCCCTATCTCTCACTGAGTCTTTACCCTCCACTCACTCCCCTTCCCCTCTGAACCCTCCCACTCTCACTAAACATCCTCCTCCTTCTCCTCTCTCAGAAACAGATGAGATCCAAATGAAAATCTCTTCCACTCCTTCCCATCAAAAATAAGAAATCTAGAGATAGATACAGACTCTGTGTCCTCCAAGACAAACAAGAGGAAACTGGATCTGCCTTGAGAAAGGAGGTTCTCGAGGTAGGCCGGGAGGCCTCCAAATGGTAGTGGGGACTGTTCCCCAGCATGGCTGAAAGGTCTGGAGTTCCTGCAATCAGCAGAGGGAATCAAAGGCTATACTGGCAGGAGACACCCTAAGAAGAGGGAAACGAGAGGTTGGGGACTGAAATAGGCTGAGATAGGAGTGGAGTGCACCAAGATATTGAGGAGAAGCCTTGTAGGATTCTCTCTTCTCTAGTCCTGAGATGCCCTTGTAGCTCTTAGAATTCAGGGCTAGACCAGCCCTCAACATCAGACTGCCCAAGCTTATTGTTCCACACAAAAGTAGATGGGAGAACAGAATAAGTGGGAACAGCCCACACTAAGCAAAAGGAAAGAAATGTAAACATCACCTGATATGGAAAAAATAACTTGTAATGTCAAAGCTCACAGAATTCACAAACTGTATAGACCATCATAATGACAATTTGCCTGGTGAAAATTAAAATGTGTTTGTGACTCTAAGTAGCACTATTCCACAATACTGTGAAATTTATATAATCACCTACTCTCAATTAAAGAATAAAAAGTGAGAGAAAGGATGGGCTAAGAGAGATGGGTGACAGTGTGGTCAGACACTTTGTTCTCATATACTGTTTTGTAGAATGGGAACTTCTTTGTACAACCACTTAAAGATAATTTAGAAAAAGGAGATGGGAGGCCTAGGGAGGTGGTATGGGGTTAGGATGGCAGCCATATTATCCTGGATCTGGTCTCCAGACTCGATGCTTCTGTGGACAGATCCATCCCTGAGAAAGCCATTATGCCCAGTCACCTTTTCTGAGAAGCAGATCAGAGCTGGAAAACAGTATGCTTTGGGAAGAGTCACTGTAGGCCTTGGGTGGATCATGAGGGATGAGTAAAATGGGGCTGGCAGAAATGGAAGAAGAACAAGGAAGGATTTAAACAAGCAACAGGGGAGGAAACAGTTCGAGTAAGCACCAAAAGGCAGAAAACCTGCTCTGACCTTGGGGCCTCTGTGAGTCTATACAAGGGAGGGGGCTGGACAGATCCCCAGGCTGAGGGGAACCCTTCCTCCCACCTAGACTGGCCTCTATTCTGCCTCTCCCTCACCCCACTGTCAACCCATTCCTATTTTCCTGTCCCCTCAGGCCTTATCTGTCTTTATGAACCTGCCTCCACCTCACACCTGCTGCGGTTTGCCAGCCCTGCCCACAGCCTGGGTTTCCAAGAGGAGCAAACCTCCCCCACATCCACATCTCAGCCTGCTGGCAGGTGCCTCCACCTTCTAATGGGACCAGACCCAAGGAAAAGATCATGAGTTAAGACCATTACCCCAAGGTTCATCATGTGCACTTGGGAGAGGAGGGCAGCCAGCAATTCTTGAGCTCCTATTATGGGCTAGGCACTGCCCTATGCACAAGGTACCTATAATCTCATGAAATCAATCAGCAGAGCCTCAGGGTAGGCAGGGATGGCATTGGGCTGGAGACTAGACCTGCCTGACTCCTAGTCCCCTGCTTTTCCCATTCCTATGTTCAAGCCGGCTCTTGTTGGGAGCACCTGATAGTAGAGTCCAGTGAGCCCCTGGGACTTTGAGCTCCAGGGGCTCACTAGATCCCAGACACCAGACACTGGAATAGGAAGACAGAGCAGAGATTCCCCAAGGGGGGACTGGATCTCAATCTCAACCTCCAAGCCTCACTGTGTGGAATTGACACCGATGTCTGTGTCCCTGGGATGTGAGTATGTGCCTGTCCTCATCCGTTCATACCACTCCCTGCTTTCCTGGCCCATCCTGGCCTCCTGGCATCTCTGACCCCCATCTCCTGGCCTCCCCATCTCTACTATGCTCTAGGTTAATTGCATTTGAGCATTCACTTTTAATCGCCTTATAAAGAAATCTTTTCGGAAGGCTTTGCTGGGTCTGTAGCATTGCACAGAGGCTGTTGAGTAGGCCTCTAAGGGAGAGCTCCCCCAGGCTCCTGTGGATCTTCCAGCCCTATACCATGGTCTTCAGATATGGGGGCCAGAGAAGACAGTCCATGGCTTTGTCTACATAGTCCTCGAGTGAACAAGTTGCCAGGAGACGCTGAAAGTGTCCCCCACCCTCCCACACGGGAAACTCAGTGTCAGGACAAGAGGTGAGGAAGGCTCGGGTCTACAAGAGAGCTGCCAGCTGTTTCCATGGAGAAGGACCAGGGAGAGCGGCCACCAGCCTAGATCCAGGGTTCCAGGTGCCAGGAGGGACCGTATAAGTCTTGGGTATCCTGACCGAATACTTCCACGATGGGTGGATGACTTATTAGCCTCTGGTGCTACCCCAGAGCTGTTAGAAAGCCCTCCCCACAGTGTGCAGAGAGAATGTTCCCAGTGGTTCCCCCTCTGATCCAGTTGCTAACCCAGTGCTCCCTTGGGTGCTCTTTGTTTGGTTCTTAGAAAACAAGTGTTGATTCCTCAGAGCCTGTGTGCTCCCTAACACTCTCCTGTCCTCAGAGGACAGGTTTCTAAACAGACAGGAGCTAGACCTGACCCTGCCTCATCCATGCCACATGCCCTATGACATGTCCTCCTGACTTTTGCCCATCTGGAAAATGAGGAGACTGAATTCAGTGCTTAGAGGTAGCAGGGTACCATGGTCCTGATCCTCAAATCCCTGGTTCTAATAGTAGTAAAACTATCACAGCAAACATTGCTTATCATGGACCAGGCTGTTTTAAATGCTTTACCTGCTTCTCAATGCATTTAATTATCCCAACAACCCTGTAAGTCCTAACACAAAGGGGAAAAGAATCCAAAACAAAACAAAACAAAAGGACCCAGAGAGGCTGTCTAATTCATTCAAGATTACAAAGCTAGTGAACAGAGAGCTGGGATTTGAACCCAGCCAATGGGGCTCCAGAAACATCTGCAGAATGCTGCCTGGATCTCTCTGATCTCAGACACAAAGGCAGGTACCACAAGCTCTGGCCCATCTATTAACACTGGGATCCCAAGTCTAGCCTCACAGGTAGTGTTTATGGCCTGCTGGGATTTGAACTCACATAGCAGAGCCCTAGTCTTGAGATGCTACAGCAGTCTAGAACTCTGTGAGGAGAGTGTTCCTCTGCCTCTGCAAGGGGTACTTTCTCTGTTCCCATCCACCTCCCCAACCCAAGAGCAGAACCAATTCTCCCCATCTCTACTGGAGTCAGCAACCTGGCTAAAGAACTCACCCTAGCAGAGAGGCAGGGACCATGTTGGACAGGAAAGATCAATGACCTCAGCACTGAGAATCCTTGGCCATGCAAGAGGGAAAAGGGGGTGCAAAGAACAGCTTACCAGACTTTCCCTTCCTGTGGCAGCTCATGTGGGGGGTCCTCACACACCAGCTGGGACTCCCCATCCAGCAGGTAGGTGTAGACAGTCTCCTACGATAGAAAGTGCTTGTGAGACCCTGTCCTGCTCACCCCGCTACCCCATTCTCAGTCTGTCCACCAGATCTGTATGTATGGCAAGGTCACAGGCCCCATGGAAGCAGAGCTCTGGCATTTTCGGAAAGGGCAGGTATACAAATCTGTCTGCTTTCCTGTCTCCCCCCCTCCTCCCCCCCCTGACTAAGAGGGATATGTCCCTGCCAGCTTCAGCCATTCCGCAAACCTCTGACTATCTACTCTAGGGGTGTCCAGGGGTCAGGATGGCTCCCATATTAGAGGCCAGGCTTAGACTACCAGGAAGCTTCCTTCCTACCTGCAGGGACATGTGTACACTTGTTAACCGTGTCCAGGGAGGGGCACAGAGAGGGCACCACACCTGTCCTCTATGGAGGCCTCAGAGGGCTTCCTGGAGGAAGAGACTGTAAGCTGTAACAGGGCACATTTGAGTGAACAGGGACCAGACCTGGCTCTTGAGCCAAGGAGCAAGTCTTCCTGTGGGTCCAGAGGTATACAGAACACGGAGTATTTTGGAACTGACTGTGGGAGGAAGGAATGCAGGGTTAGCAGGCTCAGGGTGAGCCAGGCTGAGCTAGAAGGGCCTTGGAAACGGAGCAGGGGGCGGGGCAGGCAATGAGCCACACATGGGTAGAGGTGCAGTGTAGACTGACCGCTCCCTAGAGAGGTGAAAGCTCTCACTCGAAGCTGATCAACCCCTGAGTGCCACAGGCTTCCCTCCGTGGGGGCTGGTCAGTCTGCCTCAGGGGCAGATCTCCTTTTGGCAGAAGCAGGTGCCCTCATTGACAACCACAGGAAGAAATCCAGTTCATGTTCCTTTGGAGCAGAAACTATGAGACTTAAAGATTCCCGAACAAATTCCCAGTGTACATGGCTGGCTGCTGGGCTAGGGGACTGTACAATTTTGTCTGGGAGAGTCTAAACGGGGATGTCCTCACTGCTGAAGCCATTGGAAGGAGTGACATGATTTGAGCTGTCAGAGGCCCCCTTGGGTTAGTCTGGAGTCCTTCTCTGTAGATCACATGAACCCCTTGGCTCTACCCAGTCCTCCAAATCTCACATCCAGATGCTCCCTTACTATCTCCGGAGAAACAGAGCCAGGCCAGGTAGGAGTGACAGAGCCCAAGGAGATCTTGGCAGCTTAGCCCTGGCAAGGCCTGGAGCCCCTTGTTCTACAGAGATGGGGAGGGCTAGATAGGGTTCAGGATCAAGGATGGGGGGGGAGAGGGCTGCCACTCCTCAGCTATAACCAGCCTCCTCACCATCATCCCCTCCCCACCCCACCCCCAGCAGCCTCTAGGGGTGGGGCTAGAGGGTGGGTCCTCTCCCACAGAGAAAAGGGGGGGGCGCTCAGAGAGGGGGCAGATCCTCACTTCACTTCCGGATGTCCGCGTCTCCCACTCCCTCCCTCGCAGCCTTCTGGGTTAAAATTAGCTGAGTTTATTGGAGAAGGAGGGAAGCATTTCAGACACATCAGCACCATCTGCATTTGGGGCTGCCTGCCACAATGGGTGCTGATGAGGAAGCCAGGTGCCAACAGCTCTCCTCCCTGCGGGGCGTGGGGGGTGGGGGGGAGACCCTCCTCCCCAAGCTCCCATCTCCCTCACCTCCCTGGTTGCTGTCAAGCATGGGCTCTCCCAAGTCAGGGCTACCCCAGCTCACTGCAGGCCTCCTGGGCAGCCCAGGGCAACAGCCCCAGAACCTGATTGCCTGGACCACAGACTCATCTCAGACCCAGCGCAGGATATCTATGGTGGCACAGCCAGCTGGGCACCAAGTCCGTCATTTCCTCTCCTGGCTTCCAGGGTAGCCTCAAGGCATGCAGGGCCAGCCTCGGCTTGAGACTTGCCATCCGCCTCCTCCGTGCCCAGATGTGCCTCCACCCCAGGCCAGATGTTGCCTCAGTCGCATTCCTCTGCTGGAGGATTTATTTTGGGGCGCCAACACACCACCCACTTCCTATCAATTTCACGCTCAATAAAGCTCCGTCATTAGTCCTCCTCCTGGGCACTGAACTTCTAGGAGATTTTGGGAAGGCAGAGCTGAGGAAAGGGAATGGGGGGGCTTAGGTCCAAGTCCCATTTGTCCCTGTCCTGCTGTGTGGCCTTGCGGGGAAGTGCCCTCCCTCTCTGGACCTCCGGTGGTTCATTCATCACGCAGTTTCAGGGACAATGGGCTCTGGCGGGGCGGTAAGGCCGCATCCTGAGTTGGCTGTGTTTTCCAAAGCAGAGGCTGCCCTTGGCTGGTGGTGAGAGTTAGGGAGAGAACATTCAAGGTCTTCGAACTCGGTTTGGGCATCTCCTCCTCCAGGAAGTCTTAAGTCTTCCATGACCCTTACTCTGGGGCAGACCTTCTCCACCAGCTCCGAAAGTCTCTCTTCGTCTGCCACCACTGGGTGATCCTGATGCTTTGAGCCTCCAAAGCTAGTTAAAACCAGGTTGGGGAGTAGCCCGGGGCAGCTGAAGAGGGGTTCATCCCTCCTCACCCCTAGTAAAGCACTCAGAGCCCAGGTAACCATGGTTACTACTCTCTATAATGCCAGCCTTAGTATTGAGGTGGGGGGGGGGAGGGGAGAGAAGCTTAACGCTTGCTAAAGGTCATTTCATCCAGCCTCCTGTCTCCAGGAAGGGCATTTGAACAATGAAGATCTGTCCATCAAGGCTAAGTCCTCTAGCAATTCCAAGCCCTGGTACCCAAGAAGTTCTTTTTTGTGTCTATCCTCACCCCTCCTGAGGTATGTATTCCCAAACCCATCTGAGTTCATCTTGTCCTGTTATACCAAGTGCATCTATTCTGTTATCTGAGACAGTTTTTTTTTTTTCTTCCAATTAACCTCTAAGGCCCCTCTGATTCAGGGAGTTCATTCTTCAGTACTAAGCCTTTCACTATTGTTCCTCTGGAAAGCCCTCTCAGAACACCCCCTAACCTTCCACTTACCCACAAGGACCTGAGTAGGGACTCTGTCTCCCCCACCCCCCGGCCCTCCCCCCTGTCTCAGTGGGCCTGTATGCAGTAAAGCACCGAGCTGGATGAAGGTTGGGATGAGTGGGATGTATAAGGGACAGACAAACACCTACCACTTTGGGGAGCACAGCTGAGAGCGCATTCTTGGCAGCCTGCCGCAAGCCAGCAACATCGATGACAGCGCCCAGGCTCAGCAAAGCATCCTGGAAGAGAGGAGAGGGCTTTAGTGGCTCTGCCAGGTAGGCTGGGGCAGCTCCCACACCCCAGAGGTTTGAACACACAGCCCCAGCTCAGATACTTGAACCCCTCCAGATCTTGTATCTCAGAATCAAACAGAATTAAAGCAACAGAATGCCCAAATCCCCACATATTACAGATGGGGAAACTAAGGCTCAGAAAAGAGCCAAGGACTTAGTGAAGGCCTTACAAGGAGTAAAGAGATGAAGCCTGGAATAGACCCCAGGTTGCCTGTCCTTTGGGCCAAGATAACTCTGATATACTAGTGAAAACACAAGACTCTTACTAAAACAAAAAACAAACAAACAGAAAAGAAAAAAAAAAGCCGCTCAGCTCTGAATCCTATTCCCCTACATTGTAGTGTATGTGTTATTGGAATCACTGAGCCTTAATCTTATAGATGTAAATTGAAGCAACTGTGGCTATCACCCTCCCCCCCCCCCCCCGTCGTACACACACACACAGGCTGCCATGAAGACAAAGTGAAACTGAGCACTAAAAACTAGAAATAAAAATAAAACAGTGTTAAAGGTGTCGGGAAGGTCCAGCACAGAGTAGATGTGGTAGAAGGATGGCTGCTGCTGGATTCGCCACTTTCCCAGGACAGCAGTGGCTCACTCAGTTTCATTTCATGGCTGAATTAGGACTAGATCAAAAGTAGCAAAGATCCAAGGTATAATCCTAACGACATGGAAGACAAAGATTGAGAAGGTAGTCATTGAAGCCAGCTCAAGCAATAAAGTTCATGAGACCCTATCTCAACCAATAGTTAAGCACAGTGGTGCATACCTGTCTTCCCAGTTATGACAAGCAGTATAAATAGGAGGATCATGGGTCCAGGCTTGTCTAGGCAAAAAGCAAGACCCTATCTCAAAAACAACCAGGGTTGGATGTGTGTGTGTGTGTCACATAGTAAAGCACCTGCCTAGCAAACGCAAAGCCCAAAGTTCAAGAATTCCAATACTACCAAGAAAGAATCATCATCACCACCACCATCAACCAGAGTGTGTCTTAGCTATACGGTGGGTGCAGTATAGCTGGGTCACCTCAGCCACCCCGGGAGGGGAAGAAGTCAGCCTTCGTTGCCTTTCTGCCTTTCCATCCCTGAAACAGACCTTGTCCTTGGAGAGCCGGAATAGAGACAACAAAGGTCCCAGCTTCTCGCTCTATTAACTCAGCCTGCACCATGGGGATCAAAGAAAAAGTTAACGGAACAGGGGATCCTGGGCCAAGGCAGGATTGTGACTCACACATCATCTACTCAAGCTGTGCCCTCTCCTCAGCCATTGAAAGTCCTTCCTGCTGTCTTCCCTGCAAATGACAGGGTCTGGGTTCAAAAAGCAAAGTGATTAGGTAGAAGATGAAGGAGGTATGGCTTGGACTGCATTTATGTGACAATAATATAAAGTTGAGGCTCTTTGTGAACCACAAGTTGTAAGCATAGCTGGTAAAAATTAAAAGGTTGAAATTACAGGCCATCTTCATTAGAGATCTGATAATCCAAGTAATGAAGATGACAGTTCCTCTGTTTTAATAGTCTAGTTAAAAAAAAAAATTCTCAGTCACATTCTGGTGGCTCACATCTGTAATCCTACCTACTCAGGAGGCTGAGATCTGAGGATGATGGTTTGAAGCCAGCTTGGGTGGGAAAGTCTGTGAGATTCTTATCTCCAATCAAGCCCCAGAAAATCAGAAGTGGTGCCGCAGCTCTAAGTGGTAGAACACCAGCCTTGAGCATAAAAGCTCAAGAATAGCACCCGGGCCCTGCTTTCAAGCCCCACAACCAAGCCAAAACAAAACAAAAACAACCCTTATTCTTATTCTATGAGACCTAGGTCAGAACAGAATGAGGCTGTCCAGAGGACATAGCCCATGTTGAAGAGGGAATTAGAAATCAAGTCCTGCAAGGGACTAAGATTAGATTACCTAGGGCCTAAAGCTCCTCAATCTCTAACTTCAAATTCTCAAACACTTTGAGGGAGGAGGACTGAACTCCATAGCCCCATGGCCAGCCTGGGGAGCCTACAGAATCTCGCAGGAGACTGGTGCAAGTCCCATGGCTTAAATGACCTTCTTTTCAGCAGAGCCACACTGCAAAGACAGAGGCCATCAAGGGGAAGAGGGAAGAAGCAAACGCTCATCCTCAAGGGTGGGCAAGGGTGAGACAAAAGCCTATAGTTTCCAAAGGCTTCAGAGGAGAATCCTGCATGGGGTCTGAATGGGGGGGGCCTACGGTCCAGGCTTAGAAACTCTTAGAAAACTCTTGAGTTTTCTCAGTTCCAGCCCCCTCCCCAACATCCTGTGTCCCCAAGAGAAAGGGGCAGAAATAGGCCTTCTCCTAATATGCCTATGGGTATTGCTTTCCCTGGTCCCAGCTCCAGATTTTCCCACTGCTCAAAGATGAGACGTTTCTGGTTTATGGAGAGAAATCTGCCATTGGATACTGGAAGTAGCTGGTTCCAAACAACACAATCCCCCAATTGGATCACTGTGCTGTGACTCTTACATATTGCTTATCACAGCTCCTGAACGCTTCGTGCCACCCTTCCTGAGAGCTTCAAGTCCTCATAGACTATGTGAGGACTTGCATGCCTGTCTACCATGCTTGCAGACTCCTGCAGGCACTCATGTGTGACACACACACACACACACACACACACAGAGGCACAGCTATTTCCTCATGGATCACAGGCAAACGTTCCAGTAACATCTGTTTATAGAGTTTACACATCGCCTACAATGGCCGTCCAAGGTCAATAATAAAGATTCAAGAGGGAAGAAGAGCTGATGCCCCCACAGAATCTGAAAACACAGTTTCTAGGGTTTGATTTCCTGCACTGGAGCTTCAAGGGCAGGCTGCTGGCCCCCAGGCTGGTGCAGGCCTACTGCTGCCTGGAGAAAGGGAGTCACCACATTGATACCCGAGAGATTTTGCCCTCAATGACACATCTACATGTGCACTGGGGATGGTAGGAAAGGGGGAAGCAATAGAATGAGCTTAATACGGGAGTGGGGAGAAAATTTTTAAAGTCACAGACTTCAGACATCTGTCTCCCAATTGACAGATGAGAAAACCGGGTCTCAATCATATCTGTGGTTAGCCAGCTGCTCAAGACAGAGCCAGATCCAGAACCCAGACCTATGGATGTCCAGAACCCAAATCTTTGGACTCTCAGCTCCAATCTGGCTCCTGCTCAGCACCCAACCTCCATCTCCTACCCTGAGGGGCTTAGAGAAAACAGTGTGTCCTTTATTGTGGTTGGTAAACTCTTCAACTTGCCCTTTGCCTTGATTGGAGAACGCCCTGAATTGTTCTTTACTGGAATTGGTGGTTGTTTGTCTGGCTTTTGTTCTGATTGATCAGTTTTCTGTGACTTTTAAGGCCAATGGCAAGATATGACAGTGTGGGGAGGTGGGGAGGGTGGAGAAAGAAACTTGGGAAGAGTTGGGATAGCAGTAAGGAAGGGCTTCATAGCCTCAGCTAGAGTAGACTGGATGTTGACATAGCTGATGAGGCCCCAGGTCCCTGCCTGGGATCCTTCTCTCCTTTCACCTCTCATTCTGCCCAGATGCCCCTAGAAGTGTGTGTGTGTGTGTGTGTGTGTGTGTCTGTGTGTGTGTGTCTGTGTGTCTGTGAGTCTGTCTTCTGGGGTGGGGGTTGGGTTGTCAAGTATAGGAAACACTGATAGGGAAAGCAGATCAGACACTTTAAAAAGCCTTTACAGCTTGCTCAACTGCCACCTGCACCAAGAACCTTACCCAGATTTCAAAATGAACATCTTCAGCCATCAACTCAGGAGAAGAAGGAACTCCAAGTCTAGCCCATGAAATATGGGTTTAGAAGACAGGGAGGAGATGGGAGGAGAGAATCAGCAGAGAGCCTCTTTAAACGGGAAGTGGGGGCAATTTCTGAACTGGAGGTACAAGATGGGGAGAGGAGACAGCCTCAAGTCCTGTTTAGAGCCCAGAAATATTAAAGGGGAAGAGTACAAATCCAGCAGCCATTCCTGCTCATATATGTACACTGCCATGCACACATCTTTCTTCTGTGTTCACACAACGTCCCACAAACACGCACACACAGATAGAAATACAACTACAGGGCTGGGAAGGTGGCTCAGTGGTAGAGTGCTTGCCTTGCATGCATGAGGCCCTGGGTTCGATTCCTCAGCACCACATAAGCAAAAAGAAAAAAAAGCTGGAAGTGGCGCTGTGGCTCAAGTGGTAGAGTGCTAGCCTTGAGCTGAAGAGCTGAAGGATAGCGTCCAGGCCCAGAGTTCAGGCCCCACGACCAGACCCCCCCCCAAAAAAAAAAAAAAAAAAAAAAAAGAAATACAACTACATATCCTGTGCACACACACAAGTAAGCACTTTGGAATGTGCATACGCAGAGCCCACACTCAGGGTGGGGTGGAAGAGGTCACATTTCTTGTTCTCGCAGCTTTTCTGAACAAACACCAGTGTAAATATCAGCATAATAACCAAGCAATTTCCCAGACCCCAGGGGAGAATCTGTGGTGTATAGAAAGCAGCAGAGTGATTTCCAGCCCTGTCCCAGATTGACGACATAAGCTCGGTGTGGCCTTAAACACACCCCTTTCCTCTTCTGAACTTTGATTTCCTCATTAGAAAAGTGGATCTTTCCCCTCTGCTGAATATAGTTCATTGGTTTTTGTAGCTTAATGATGATGGATGTGTGGGTGGATAGATGGATGGATGGATAGGTAAGTGGGTGGGTAAGTGCATGAATGATAGGTGGTAGGTGGGCAGATGGGTAGCTGAGTGGATGGTGGGTAGGTAGGTGAAGGGGAGGATGGCTGGTCCATGTTGAGTAGGTATGTGCATGGTAAATGATGGGTGAATGGTTAGATGGTGGCAGATAGATGGACAAATGGATAGATGGATAGATGGGTAGTGTATGCTGGTAGAAAGTGGGTGGATGGGTAGATGGGGGATAATGGGTAGA